GACATGAATTCCCATTCCAAGTATCATGCATCTGACAACTGCCAAAATAATATCCTTTTATTTTTTGACCAAACACAAAGCCAAAACATAAAAGGTTATAATTCAGGAAGCTACACTACATACAGTGGGGCGGGGTCAAACACAAGATAAAGGAAATACTTAGGTTCTCTGGGTTTTGGTTCAAATCCTAGTTTTCATTGTAAAGTAATGATATAGGTCTTTTACTAAGCGGGGGCATGGAGAAGGTAAAACTAGAAATTAGGCTTGACAAGGGAATTTACAGTTTTACAAAAAACATGCTTATGTGTTTTGAGGTCTCTCAAGTCAAGGGAGGTCAGGTCTAAACGTTCTAACACAAGCACGATTTGTAAACCTTAGAACCCGCAGAGAAAAAAAAAAGGGAAACTACACAATCAAGCTCACTGAAAGTACATGTTACTTTTTCCTATTTGGCGCTTAACGCAAAGGAGGCACCCAGAAAGCAAGAGCTCCTTACACTTCCTAGCACAAAACGCGAGCGAGGGCCTGGGCAGTCCTGGAGGACGTCCCGACCCTGCAGCACAGTTCTCCTCACAGCCTTCAACAGAACTGGCGAAAGCGCTCATAATTGGGAAGCTAGGAAGGAGGGAAAGAGCATTTTTGAATGGTGCGCCAAAAACGCACCGGTCCGGGGATCATGGAACCTTGGATGTTCGAACCAGGGATGCTCAAAAGAACGCTTCTTACTCTCGCCTTGCAAACACTGACCTGGGGGCCACTGTGGAGCCCGCTCGAGCTTCTTTCGTGCAAATAAGGTGCTGAGGCCGCGGTGGGGGCCGCAAAAGACGGCCGTGAAACCCCAGCTCCGACAAGGTAGGCAAGCCGTGAACGCAGTTATGCCCCAGCCTGCCATCTTCCCAGATGTCCCTACGCCCGTCTAAACTCTCACAGACAACCGCAAAGTGCACAGGAACTGAGTTTGCGCATGCGTTGTCGGCTGGAAGGCGGAACTTGTTAAAGAGCACACCGTACTATTTTCAAAAAGTGGGGTAGGCATTTGTGCGAAGGGTTGTTTGTCTTTTCTTGTCTTTGCGCTTGTCATAGAAAGTTTTTGCCTGTGCCACCTTGGGATGTTTTGAGTGGTCTTGGGTGACTACATTCTCAGTTGGCTGTTAAATATTCCAGAAGAGGAAACGTTATCCAACGTTCCTTGATAGAAAACCATCTCATCTTCCGAGGGACACTCGGGAGCGGAAGGTATGATGCACCTCTCAGTTTCGGAAGACCCTATGACCTCCTTGACAGTTTTAACCTGTACCAGAAATGCCCCCAAGATCTAACCTACATCCTGCGTGTACAAATACAAGGAATGGAATATGACACTTGGCTATTCTCCCATCACTTTTCAATTCCCCCCTCTATTTTTATGTCTCATTATTGAATTATTCTTCTCCCTTATGCTGTACACAAAAATAATTTCCAAGTATATGAAGGGTCTCAAAGAAGAATAAAACTGAGAGAATTAAAATTAATTTTATGAGATTATTTATATAGTCTGGGGATATGAGCAAGATTTGAAGCCCCAAAATTAATTTTTTTTTTTTTTAAAAAAAAGGAGATACATTTGATGTATACAAATTTGAGTGTTTTGAATGGCAGAAGGCATCTTAAGTCAAATGAGAGCCTGGAAAAACAAATTTTACAACCCAGATAACATAGTATCAATACATTCCCATTCAGTCAGCTCCTAGAATGATAAATATATATATAACCATAATAAGACTGGCCAAAGGTTATAGAAGACATTCATATAAGCAGATACTATGCACAAGCTCACTAATTTAAAAACGTGATTTTTTTTTCCCCACCTATCAAATTGGCAAAAATTAGCCATTATTTTTTATTACCACTTGCTATGGAGTTAATTCCAACTCATGGCGACTCCATGAATAGAACTGTGATCTATAGGATTTTTAATGTATGTTTCTTCAAAAACAGATCACCAGGCCTTTCTTCCGAGGTGCCAAACTTCCACTCTTTCAGTTAGCAGCCTCCTTACTCCCATTACAGCTAAATTGAAAGAAGAGTCTTCTTGTCCAAGTAATGGCCACGATGCATTGATTAATAAATTGAGAATATGAGAGGCTGGAAACAGCAGATAATATAAGCTGGTTGGTACACAGGCAAGCAGGGTCACAAAGGGCTATAGTTTTGGCTCCTAACCTGGGATGGGGAGTATGCCCAGGGACCAAATTAGCCAGGAACCTGCTTGACTTAAATTACCAGAGAAGGTACAGATCAGAGCATTGAAAACAAATCAAAACAAAAACAATGCCAAACTAATATGGGGGCCTCATCCCTCCTGAATCACTGGTTTTTCAAACCTAGGTGTCCATCAGTTATTATACTAAGATTTTCAGCTCAACTGTCCTTCCCAGATCTCTTATGTAACAATCTCTTGGCACACAGCCTAGGCAAAAATATTTTTTTTAAAAGTCCACATGTACCCTGAGATGTCCTTGTTGAGAACCCCTGTCATTGTAAACAACCTCACCTGGGTCAGTTAAAAAAATAAAAATAAAAAAAATAAATATATAAGGAGCTCTGGTAGCATAGTGGCTAAGACACTTGCCTGCTAACCAGACGGCTGGCGGTTCAAACCCACCAGCCACTCCTCGGAAGGAAGGTTGGGCAATCCTACTTCTGTAGTGATACTGCCTCGGAAACCCAAGGAGGGGTCGCTATGAGTCAGGTTTGACTCGACGGCACATAACAACAACAACAACACATATATATATGGAGTTCCTTGAATGAAGGGGAGACCAGGAAATTCTGAGAAAGGCTGTAATAATGCCCTAAGTGATCCTTTCCCAGAAAGAGTATACATCTGCAATGGTTTTACAAGGGCTTCTGACTCCAAGTCTGAAACCTTTTAAAGTAATCCCTGGGGATCTTGAATAATGAGTTGAGAACTCATACAACCCTTTGAGTAAAACCATGTTACTATTTGGTCATATGTTTTGGAGCAGTGATATGTACCAGAGTTAAAGGCAAAGGTTGGATCCAGAGAAGGCAGCATGTCTTTGGAGTCTTGAGAACCTGTCCAATTGGAGCACAGTGAAAAAGTTGGATAATGGCAAAACACTGAATAGATCTGTCTTGAGAGGTGTAATGCCAGAAATATATAGCAAGGGCAGCCATCTGATTTCAGGACATACCCCAAAGCCACTGAACTATTTTGCCTGATCTCCATGAGGCCTGTTGTAGACTCTAGGACTAAATCATGAATGTGATGCCAGATGCCTGTCACCTCACTGACCTTATATCCTAACAAGCACCACTCCCTATCCAACCAACCAAACTCACTGCCACAGAGTCGATTTTGACTCATAGCGACCCCCATTGGTTTTCTGAGGCTGTAAATTTTTATGAAAGTAGGTTGCCACATCCTCCTCCCGTGGAGCGTCTGGTGAGTTTGAACCACTGACCTTCTGATTAGCAGTCAAATGGCATATCCACTGTACCACCAGATCTCCTTACATAATCATTACAAATGAACCAACATTAACTACCCCTATAGATGTGTATAATTGTAAATATTCTCAATCACTCCTCTCTCTTTTATTCCCTTTTATTTGTGAAGGTCTCCTGTCATTTTATGTGCAGCAAAATGAAAAATCTGATTCTTTATTATAGTGGGAAAAACACTACACATAAAAGCAGGAAAAGTCAAGGACCATTTTCTCTATCCATGGTTGTCAGCCTAACAAATCAGGAAAAATTGTGGCCAAGATGCTTTTTCTGACAGTGATGGGTTTGAAGGAGACAAATTTGCTTCTGCTTAGGATAACTATTTTCAAGTTAGTCTTCATTAACATACAAAAGTGTGAAAGGAAATATTTTTAAAAGTAGTTTCTGTCTTTGCAATCTATTTTGGTTCAAGGAGACAAATGAGGACCCCACCAAATAAAGTCCCATAGTGTTACTTCACATTTGTATGATTTTTTTTCCCTGTTGGACAGAAAGGTAAGTAGACATGATCCTTTAATCCCCAGTAATAAATGCATTTGTGCAAGAAAAGCCCCAATAAGATGTCAGATATTTTCAAGGTTTATCTCATTTTGTCAGCAATAAGAATGTGATTCGAGCTATTCTAATTACTTCAGCTTATAAACTACAAATCATAATGTTAACACACAACAACCTTTATTTAGATTCTACCATTGACTTTTGCTCCATCATATTACATATAGGTAATTTCCACATGAGGGATGAATTTATCCTCAAATGTGAAATCAGGTCAATATTTTAATCAAAATTCACCATATTTTAACATACATATTTAAAACGTTTACTACATCATGCAAAATGTAAAGTTGATTATAATACCTTTACAATCATGTGAAAAAGCAACAAATAATATAGAAAAGATACATTTTTACATTAACCAACAAAATTTTATCAATTGTATTTTATTCTCTTAGATCATTGCAGGGTATAGAGGTGATCTGTGAAAAAAAAAAAAAACAAAAACACAGATTATAGAAATGCCTCCTTCAATTGTGATTTTTGTCCTTCACTTTCAAGTAAAATACTGGTCATCCAGTTGCAAAAATTTATTGTTGGCAACATGTATGCAAACCACATTGAAAATTAAAAAATTGTGCCCAGTCAGGCTTGACAAAGATTTTTTGGAGAGATACTTCTAATCTAATCATCTCACCTTGAACTAGAGAATAAATTATTGTTTTCTACTTATATTTTTGCCTTCTTTAAGGAACGAGTACTTTCATTCTTATAAACACACACAACAAGATAAACCAGTATAGATGGTATTTGGACAAGCATTATGAAAAGAACTTGTCTGAAGTCATTTCATTCGATAAAAATTAATTTAACTCTAAAAACCAAAGGCTAATTGTAAAGAAATATGTAATAAAATGGTACATTACAGACAATGCTAAGTTGAACTTCATTTGCCTTTTTATAGAGCTACACCACTCCTGTAAATAAATATTTTGATTAGTCTGCTCTTTGGTTATAAACAGAGCTCTAATTTCATAGTTATGTTGCATGAGACTGTGGTTAACAGGTGTGCTCCGCAACAAAGAGACCAGACAAGCCAAAGGAAATCAGCTACTGGGAATGGAGACATCTTGGGCAAAACAAGCTGCTAATACTAAATATTCTTTTTATTTAAAACTGCTCAATGTGACAGAATCTTCTTTCTAAAACACCCAGCTTTTTGATCTTTCTTCTTTTACACAGAGTAGCTTGCAATGTATGTACAGTAGATTATGCTGGTGATCTCTTCAACTTCCTGGGTATTTTATGGCATCAAAATACCAGTTTATAAGGTAAAATGTCACTACATGCAGTTTGTCATTTGAACCTCCTACTGTTAAACACAAGTCATGCCAAGTCTTTGGCTTTGGTGCAGTACTTAAAAAGTAAGGCAAAATCTCCTCCTAAAATATATTCTCCTCCAATTCCACTCTCCAAGTCTTTATTTGCTTATATTTATAAAATTACCTTTAGTAAAACGCCATTTTTAAAAAAGCCAGTTGAACACCAAAATGTCAATGTTAACGGTAATGATTAGGGTGATAAAATAATTTCATATTTCAAAATGCATACAAACATTTTTTGTAATCTATTTAGTTTGTTTCTCCAAAACCAACAATTAATTAAAAAAAGAAGTTTGTAAGAAATATTCCTGCAAGTGACGTTATTTATCAAAATAGTGTTTTTCTCATAGGTGCTTCAGTTCTTTTGCTACTCATGATCAAGCTTTGACTTAACACTCCTTCTTCCTCTATTATAAATGACTTCTTGTTTTGAAAACAGTTCTGCTTATACACAAAGAGGTGGGTTTGTTGGATCTTTCCATCTGGGATTGAATATGGCTTCATT